AAGGGCTTAGATCCACCGCAAATTTCACCATTCCACACTGCTTGATGGAAGGCGGGCGGAGAGAGGGGAATATGTGTACGATAGGAATGCGGTATGGAGAGGCCACAGGGGACTCCCAGTCACGGATTCATTTCAGTTATGTGTGTGCGTCCATGCGTACGCGTTTGTACTGTAGGCAGTTGGGAAGGGAGGATGGGAGTCCTATGTGTGCCCGCATTACATAATATCACTGGGCTACCTTGATCTCCGGTGAAATGCCATCCCCAAGGCATAACCTGCAACCGTAGAGCATGTTAAGTAGGTAACTTAAAGTGATAAATTGGGTCTGAAGTCTTCAACAACGCAGTCCTGCTTCGCCACAGCAACGATAACAATTCCACCTGCACAGATTGGTACCACGATGATAAACAACGCTCTCTGTCCTCTTGAACCACGAAAGACGGGAATAAAACATCCTTCCCTAATTTCCGGACGATGGGACTATGTCCCAATAATTGTGGAATAAGAAGGGACAGTAAGACAGCAAGAAATACGTTTCCTCGATTTTGTTTAGCTGTCACTTAGAAAAAGATGCTAAAATTCTTCTCCTTCGGTAACACAGTGGTAACACTGTCCAAAATTTTAAAGTCAGTTTAAAATTTTCCTCCATGAAATTCTTCACTCATGGTGTTAACGAAATAATTGTTTCGCTGTGTTATCCTTGTGCAGAATAATTTCAACTTCTACCTCGTGAAAGAAAACATAAATTCTCCAAATTTCTGCAAACACTCGGCCTGTGGATATATGGAGCTCCTGTAGCGAGTATTCACGACTTGCTTAATGTATAAATATGGTAGAAAGAACTTAAATTTACCTAATTTAGTACGAAGAAATATGAACTGGTGATGTAGTTCATAGTTGGAAGGCTGACAGAACGGAGTACTCCAAGCATGACCTTTGACAGCTAGAGCGTTAGCGGGTTGTGGAGGATTATACGAGAAGGATTTCTCCTCTTTCACAATCCGCACGGGGTCATTGTGTTTGCCAACCACTTCCAAACCCATTAAACAAACAATAGTTGCCTTTTTTAATGCAAAAAAGACATCATTCTGGCCTACATAATAATTTGGAAGATCTTTTACACCCACGCTGTGGCTTTGAGGCAATGGTTAGAAGGTTAATCGCTCTTCACTTATGTGTGTGCGTGCCTTCGTTAGGATTGCCGTGAAGATACACGTATTTTTAGCTCCGTTTTCATGTGAATAGTGGCTTATTTGTTGCTCTCAATCACTATGCGTTGGATCAAAGGAAGGTGCCGAATCAGTCATAAGCATCGTCATGGTGCTTCATCAGACCAAGTACTGGCCCTCATTAGTACACCTTTTAACCTCGGGGACAGTGCAGCTAGAATTTATGATCTATCACATTGGGAGGTAGATTTTCCTGTGAGCATATTCCTTCTAAATTTTGCTTTTCTCTTTATAATTTGATGTAACTAAGTGTATTACGAAAAGATAAGTTTATTTGAATGAATGGTGAAGCAAACATTCCAGTGATCCTGGTTACCGAGACAAATCTTTGTAGGTGCAGCTCCCCGAGACTTCTCTGAAGACGAAAGAGACATAATTCCTGGCCTGACTGTGTATCGTCGACATACAATAGGGCTGGGGTCTACTGGGGTAGCGCAAAGGACAGGTAGTTCGGAGAGAGGCAATTGTGGAACCCCTCATTGGCCTGTTACCTATAATCGGGAGTTAAACAAACAATTATCTTAATACAGTGGGCTTTCAACATCCATTTGTAAAAATTGTTTTCATACAATCGAATTGTACTTTTAATAATCGTTTGTTGCTAACAAGGAGAAATTCCGCAGCGTCCACCTTCCGTTATACAAGCAACGCATAATCAAGTCCACATTCGTCCCATTCGACTGAGATGCTACCTGATAAAATCTGCCGGATCGTCAACTAACGCTGAATGAGCGCAACCGTACTCGAATCAAGTATTTCCCATCCCGAAAGGCAATTTACTAGGACAAAGCATCGGTCTAGCACAGTGCTTCTACATGTACTGGGCCATTAGTCAATGTCACCTTTAAAGTGACCCTATTAAGACCGGAAAAATTCGGCGGACATCGAAGTACCTCTACACCCTCCTGCATTGCAATGCCCTTTTGTAGCTTCTAGTTCATACATTTGTAAACGTAAGCATCCTGTTGTTTTTATAAAGAAAAAAGAAGAACCAATAACACGATCAGGCTTTGGAAATCTTGTAAGAATCGAGTCTAATTTACGTAACATTTCCCTTGTCAACTAATTTTAAGCTTTGACCGTAACTCACTTTGATTTTGGACTAACCAGGCCATGTGTATGGTTTATCCAAGTAAGGACCTTAAATCTGCTACTTTTTGTGGACTTCAAGCCTTGGAATCTGAAAGACTAATTTGCGTGGGCCTTACTGCATCAAATGGGGCTCTGAAATAGAGCGGAATTGTTCTCCTTCTATTTAGAATGTGCACCAAAACAAGTCGTGGATTATAAAACGAAAACCTCATAGAAGTCTTCCAAAAAATTAATTTATATGCTTAGTAAGAAGAGTGATTCACCATTTTCCTTCTTTTTAGGCAAAGACGTAAATCATCTTCCCTGGAGATTTCACTTATGAGACACCTTTTACTAATTCATCGAACATTTTTATTGGATGATTTAAAATGAACCGATACCCCTCCAATGACAAAATTTTTATACCAACCAGGATATAAATAAATGAGACTGTAGGGGAAAAACTGTGCACCAGAAGTATTTGTGGCTGTATTTCCCTCATTTGTTAGTCTCAAGGGCCCTGCAAATAATTGCCCATTTCTCGTCCCACCGAGCCGCATTGTTCCACGGGGTTGTTCCTTTGTCTCAAACATGACTTCGGCATGTAATTACCACAGCTGTCCGCCAGCATTTTCCCCTTTCGGTTCAGTGGACTTCACCCTGAATCAGGAGGTTTTTCAATGTTCTTCTTTGTTACCTGTAAATACAACCTGAATTTCTTCCAGTTTTCGCGGTTGCGTGGTGATTTTTTCATTCATTTTCTTGCCTATGGGGTTTGTATTCTTCTTGATTTTGGGAATTTTATGTCCGAGTAAGTTAATTTTTATGAAAGCTAATGGAACAAAACATTTAATTCTCGGAAAAACTAATTTCCCCTTATCCCATCTAAAGTTGTTAACTTCTGAAATCAAGATTAATAACAGCGCAACTTCCTAACCCTTTTATTAGATACTTTAAATGCTTGTTCAACTCGAGGTTTTGGTGACGGACTACTGAGGGGCTCCACCACTCTACTTCTACGGGGCGGTCTCCCCTTGGCCCATACCAGTAGCCCCAGCCCTTTCTGTGGGTCGGCAATGCACATTCTTCTTAAATGTTTTATTTTCTTTCCTCTTCAGGGAAGTCACTAAACATATATACTAATTTATTAAAAGCTAATGATCCCCTAAAAAGACAAGAAAATAGCCTCCAATATGACGGGGATTTATTTGATCACATTTTTTACGGCATCATCGGTGGTCCCAAATGAATGTCACAGTCCAGCACATACAATGGCGGATGAAAGGTCAGTCTGGGACTAAGAGTTTGTCGTCCGATTACGAGCTTGCCCGGCATTATCATGACTGTCCATAGTGGGTCCACTTGTTGTTGATTCTCCACCGGACCAAAAGGCACTGAAGTTCTAAGGGACACAACTTATGAAATACTGCGAGCCTCAGTTGGTCGCGAAGGTGAGGAGCATAATTTTAAAGAGGAAGTATCAATTCGTAAGCTGTGGTGACCTACTTCTCCTTGAGACGAACCGGTTAAAATATTTTGCAAATTGTGGCGTACATTCGAACCAGCCTGCCCCTCAATTCATCAAGACTTTAAAATTCCAGTCTTTCGAAGATTTGATTCTGTTTTGCCCTAAAACCAGTTGCTTAATAGAATATGGAAGAGTAGCTACCGAAATGAAGACTGAACAAGGGGTTGATCTTAGAGCACTCTAACACTAACTAGATGCTTTCGTCCATATTGTTTGCTTCACTTATGTCCCATGTATTAATGCTAACAGACAAGACGATTAATTACACAAGTTGACGTCTTTGCAACTGCACCCCTCCAGACTGTCTTGTCTGGATCAAGGGCAAAATGGATATTTTTTCCGGTAATTTATGATAATAATTCCTAGTCATGTATTTACTAGGTGCCTTATTGAGTTTGTGGTTAGGTACAAGCGACGAGAGGACGTAATCAAAAGTGGTCAGGAGGGTTGACGAACTGTTGGCAGGAAGGATATGGTCGAGGGACCACACCAGGGAGAGTGAAGTGATCACATAGTAAAGCTTGTATAAATCAAATTAATTTTATCCCTTTGGAATACTTCCTAGTGCGTTTTGCTGCTAGTAGTAGGGAATGCGCCTACCGCCTTGGCACACAAAGCACAAAAACCTTCACCAACTTCAACACTGCCTATTTCCAGCCCCTTTAAAAATCTGAATATCCTGTCCAAATGTCTTAAAAGTTGAGGTGTACTATACATCACTTTCAGTTTAATCTTCTTTAGCGCTGACTACCCTGGGATACATTGCTGCGATTATCCTCAGCCGGTAATGTCATCAAAGGCGAAAAAGGAAGCACTTACACATTTACCCACACACATCTTTGCACATCCGTACATATTTTTGGTCCCCAAGAGGGAGAGGCGACGGTTGCCGGACCGAATCCCAGGGTTTGCGATTGAAACCGAGGCGCAGTACGCAGTCTTTTGCGCCCGTGCACAGGCGGGCCATTGTGACCCAGAACGAAGCCGCCAAAACAGCACACACACACGCACACAGGCAGAGGCAATGGCGGTTGCACGCACAGATGGTCAGACAGGGAGGCCATGGCCTGGGTGAGTGAAGAGTTGGACAACCATCCGACCGGCCGATAGACCGACGAACGGACGAAAAGAGGGAGCGAGGCAGGCGAGAGGGAGAGAGAGGTGGCATGACTCATCATCTTACTCTCTAACTCGTTGATGGGGCGTAGATATGTGCGGTGTAGTACCTGACTTTGCATGTCAATCGGGGTCACCGAAGAGCGGAAAGATGGGCTAGATAGAAGCAATTATCTACTGGAAAAAACTGTTACCGGCCTGGTAATAAATTGTGTCGGGAACGAGCAAAAAGTTCTCCGACTAATTACTTCATAAATTAGGGGTGAGGCATTAGTCTTGAGAATTGACGCAGGTCATTGCGAATGTGCATCTTATAGTCACTCTCCCGGCGCGTATGATGTGGTTTTAGGAGACCATCCAAGTGATAGCTGTGTTGAGGTTATATTCATATCCTCTTCTAGTCAAATGTAGACCTCAATCGAATCGCAGCAACTTTTCTGACAGTTTCAACTCATGGTTTAACATTTTCAAAACCGCCGAATAAGATATGGACAGGATAGTATGAAATTTGGGTGGTATTTGAAATGAGGTCATAAACTGTATGTAGGCAGGCTAGAGAGGTGAACTATCAAGTGTATAATGTGATAATCTACTGGGGCATTGCACTCTAAAAAACATCGTATGTACGACATCTTCACAATGTCAAAATGAAGGACATTCCACTTCAGGAAACTGGAATTCACGACCCGCCACTTAAACGACAAGTCGCCTAGCCCATGATTGGCAAAGGTACTGGCTGAGGAAGCCTGAGACATGACTAAGAGATACACAACATGGGCAAATCGCTTTCCTCACTGGCTTTGCGCTGGGTGGGCGGGTTCATACTGTCTAAGCTCTCATTTTTGGCTACCTGGCTTTCAAAAGGCACGCGTTTGCTTCTCAAGTATTGTAGAAGCCTGGAGTGGTAGCTTTGATCAGAGCAGGTACTTCCATGAGCGGAAATACTGATAAAGTTCTTGTGTTATCCCGGTTTTCGGGTTAAACTGTCACCTCACACACATTAGACAGCCCTACGTCATTATGGCTGAACCAAATAGGCTAGCGAAACTGGCAGCTAACACTAAGAAGAAGCTTATAAAGTGATGTCAGCCAGGCTGATACTAAAATTCCACGATGACTTCACGTTTTTCCTAAAAAAGGGTGATGGGTTGGTTTTGGCTCCACCCTCCTGCGACTGTGCTTTGATCCTTCATATTTGGAATTAGCATCCACGATGCAGTAATTTCGGTGACAGATACAAATCTAAGTGAAGACACCTGGCTTGTGTTGTTTAAGCCACCAAAATCAGTAGAATTTTTTTTCGTTTTAGAAACATTTATCCAGTAATCCAAGGAAATGAATCTCTCTGTTGGTTGAAGGACTCCACAATGGTTTTATTTACGGTGAAGGAGCTTTTGATATCTGGGGGGATTATAAAGGGTTTTGGGCTCATTTTTGAGAAAAATTTGGAAACGTAGAGAAAAAGGCATAATTACGTACTGCGCCGCTCAAATTTAAATGCATATTTTAGTAGTCTCTTAACACTGAGGGCTGTCATTTCCTCGTTAAAAGAGGGGAAGTCGTTTCTTGTTGGCTGGAGAACGAATTCGGGAGAAGAAGTAATTTTGTAGCACAAAACCCTGCTACCGGAAGAAGGATATGTACTGTTTGGATTACTGCCAAAGACTTCATAAGGCAAATGAGCCTAAAAGTAGCTTCACTGTAAGCTATGCAGAAGGGCTGAGGAAGATTTTATTTCACCGGTATGGTATCCGAATCCCAAAAGAGTGGAAGAAGTTGGCTGAAGAGCTACTAAGGTGAAGTTAAGCCACTTATTTACAACTAGGCTGATAGTTGGACCGAAAGGTTGATGTTAGCTGCCAGCGTCACATATATGTGACATTTAACCTTTTTCGGTCTATGGCAATCGACTGCCTCAAATTGTGTGCCACAAACAGACTGGTCGGACTAAAAACCAAAAGACAGCTTTAGGCCAATTGTTCTGGCTCAAGTCACATTTCTCTATCGGGACATGGAAAAGTCAGATCTCAGTGGTCGATTTTCCTCCGACCTCCTGGCATTGAACATGTTATGCAAAAAAAACAGTTTGCAGACATTGCTGTGGCATAGCAAATATTTGAGGTGGGTGGGTAGCACTTTTGAAGCTGCTAATTTTAGGCCTGTCGAATCTATTGCCACAATGTTGCAGACTGTGTTGTTGTTTTCGACAGTTTGGAGCGGATGTCATTAAAGATAGGTTACTATTATTTACCACCCAACTTAACCACCTGCCAGACGTCTAGAATACAAAAATGAGCAATTGTTTGGTATTTTGCCTCCAAATGGATAGGCGCCAGACACATGAAAACACTTTCGTCCGAATAGCGATTTCGTCCCACTGGAGGTCAGATGAAATAGCGTTATCCTAGAATCTAATTAAATGCTGTAGGAAACTTGACGTATTTCTGGCCTCTTTCAATGAATCATGTGGATGTTTTTCAGTGTTATTACCAACTTAAAAGAGAAGTTATAGCGACTTTATAACATTCAATGAAAAATCATAGCTACGTGTAGAAAAGTTTAGAGATAACCACTTTTGAATAACTTACGAATGAAGAAAACGCACCAATTCAACAATGTCTCAGTCATCACCATTCTTTTTAATAGGGGGGGGGGAAAAAAAACAAGAGAGGAATCCAGAGAGATCATTTGCCTGTACTGAGGTGAGGGCGGGTGATGGTGGCCTATGATGGAGCCTCTATATGGTCACTTGTCATCGCAGTAGTCCGAATCTGCTGTCGCTGAAAGCTGCCGAGAGTGGAGCTGGGGGGTAGTAGGATGGTTTAACCCATTTCATTACCCATTGAATCCTTCCCTTTCATTAAACAAATGAAGTAAATGGAATGTGACTGGCACATTTTTGGTTGTCACTCAAATTGCATTCATCAAAAGCTGACATTATTTATTTCTAAAAATTGGAGAAATATACGAGGCGAATCAAAAGAATGGGCTATACTGAAATTTTAGTAAATCGGCATAACTAAGTTGTGCTTGGAAAAGCTGAGATGCGTAGTAACCCAGTTAATTATCCTTAATGAATTGGAAGCTTCACATTCTGCCCTCGACAAAGACACCACATTAGATCAGTGGTGTGCCCTAGAAGATATATTTTTTTCTGCTCTCGAGTCTTTGCTTATCTTCTTTAATCTTCCCATCATTAATCAAACCAACATTTAAAACGTCCGCCCCATGATTTACGATTTCGTTGCCTTCGAGTTCACCGATTGATGATAGTAATTAACACTATACTTATAAGTTGCTAATTTCAAAGCTGAAACATTGAACCTTTCTGAGTGATTTAAAATTTGGCGGGGTCCTGAAATGAGTACTTTTAAAGGGAAATTTCATGGAATATGTGGCGGGTCTAAGCTGGCTTTGCCGCTAGGAGGCTAAATTAACACTCTAAGGTCAAGGTCACATAATCATTGGCATATAATGTCAAAGAAGAGAGCATGCCCACCGATCCCCTCATCGATGAAGAAGGTCAGCCATTCTTAGCAAGCCTTAACTGCTAAATTAGGTTTTAGTAGGTCATTGCTTAAGGCACGTTTCTTTAAATGTGCAGCGTGGCAGATCGGACGCCGTAGGCCTCCAAGATGCAGGAAATGTACCCATTATTAACATTATTAACCACCACCCTCTTATCGTTCCAAGGGTAAAAAGCCGAGGTGAAAGCCAGGAAACCTAAACCTTTTACAATTGGCCCCCATCCTGTCCGGTTCCATGATTCACAAACTTACGTGGGTACATTCTTATGATCATTCCCTTGGAACGCCGGGTCGAGCTACTGACAGTATCGAGGAATAGGTGACTTGATAGGAATGAAAGTCATCAAAAGTCATGCAACGTATTTTTGATCTTGCTTGATGGTTAGCCGTCGAGTCTACCGCCAAGTAGTGAAGATTAAGAATAACCTGAAAATGTTAGAACTCAAGCCATTTCGTATTACTTAATTAATCATCCTACCTGTAACTCTCACCTCAACGCCACTGCCACCGATTTTCTCAAGGCGGAGATCACTGCCGATGCATTGAACTTTAAGGTGATCAAATGGTAGTGTTATCCAGATTTGAACAGCTCATGCCAGACACTATCAAGGACATTTTACTTCGCCTTTCATTGCATCTCGGGTTTGTGTTAAATTTACACTAATGGTGATAGCTAACCATGGCCTTATAGCAAATAGGAGTAATTGAGGTGGTAGCAAGTATTCATGTACTACCAACGATAGCTACTTCTTCAGGATCTGTGGAATCAATTTGTAGTTCAGTAAGACCACCAAGAAACCGCATTTTCTTTATAAAAGTGACCTTTTATTAACTCAGAGAATACGTCAAAAAGTTACAAATATGCAGGCCTGTTAGTTACCATGTAGACGGAAAAGTTAACCCAAGATTGCTGTTGAACATTTACGCACCTCTCAATAGATCCAATAGCTTCCTTTTAAGCTTCAAGGATCAGAAGTATACTGAAGCCGGGTTTCAGAAAATCAAGTCTTTAGAGGGCCATCTACTTTCACAAAAGCTTAACCTCCAAGTTGACTCAGATGTTATTAAACTTCC